CCAAAATAGATCGGTTCTTTTTCATTATCGGGGGGTAGGTTTTGATGTATAAGTCAAGATACGCCTCGCAACGTGATAGTAACAGTTTTTTAACAGTTTCTAGTGAACTTTAGCTACATTTCCCGTGTAAACAGTTCAAAAAAAAAACGAAAATCTTCTGATTTATTTTAGAAAAATCTATAACTTTTTTATTCCTGAGCTTTTGCATCTAGGAATAGTGAAAACAGTTTAGAAAGATAAATAGAAAATGAGGTAGTAATAAAAAGAGTGGTTTCCATGAGAAACCCCCCCCCCCGGAAATGCAAAAGAGCCGAAAAGTATCGCAACGTACTTGGACAGCCATCGATACATCAAGAAAATGAGCAAAATCGCCAGCGCTCCATAGAGGTATCGTCGCAGTCCGCTACGCACCAATTGACGCTTCATCGTCGCTGGAAACAAATGGATTTCTGGCCAATTATGTCTGAAAGCCCACTAAAAGCGTTCAATTTGTTTGGTTACGCTATCCAAATAAAAATGCTTACTGAGTAGAGGATCGACCTCCTTGTCCTTCAAGCCCATATGCAAATTTTAGACAATATTTTTTAGGATCTACGACGTAGAAGCGGTAGAAAACCCTGAAAACCAGCAGATTTTCGGAACGTTACGCAACGTAAATGGCAGAAGCGGAACAGAAATTGGAATGAAACGCAGAATTCCGGGGCTCCAGGTGATACCCGCACCAGCCGTCAAAACGTCAAATCCACCCGCGCAAACACGGAATTGGATACGGAAAGGTTCGGAATTTCCGCCCTCGCTCCAGCGGAATCCCATTTCCGCGCTGGGACACCCGATTTATGGGGTCCAAAATATGTTGCGGAAAATGAGTTTAGGTGTGGAGCGAGAGGGCGGGAGGGCGAGAGGGAGAGAGAGAGAGAGAGAGAGAGAGAGAGAGAGAGAGAAAGAGAATGAGAGAGAGGGGGCTAGAGAAACAAGGCGCGAGCGTGAGAGCGAGAACGAGGCAGCGAGAGATACAGAGCGATAGAGAGTGAGGGAGCGAGAGAAAAAGCGAGAGATACAGAGCGATAGAGAACGAACTAAAAAAGCCGAGAGAGCGAGAGAGAGAGAGAGAGGGGGGGGGGGGGGGGGGGGGGGGGGGGGGGGGGGGGGGGGGGGGGGGGGGGGGGAGAGAGAGAGAGAGAGAGAGAGAGAGAGAGAGAGAGAGAGAGAGAGAGAGAGAGAGAGAGAGAGAGAGAGAGAGAGCGGTAGAGCGAGAGATTATTTTCATGCCTGAAAAAATCCTTAGAAAACCACAACAAATTGATGAACAAAAAAGGCTGTTTAACCCAAATCAAAAAACCCCCATTAGCCATCAATCGCTGCGGGGGAAACCAACTGTTATCCGGGTCAGCCCCGGTCAAAAACATAGAACACAGGGCAAAAGCGAACAGATGCCCGGCGGGCGCCTTGCGCAACCAGCCGATCATCATCGATCTACGACGCTCTTCGATTAAATCGAGGTTTATAGGCAATTAAATCGTAAATTTGATGAATTAAATTAAATTTGCTTAGAAATTAAATTACTTAATTTCTATTAAATGGATTAAATATTTAAAAATAAGCGTAGATTGGGAAAATTGGGTTTAGGTCTTTGGGCCCCAAAAATCTTTCCAACTGGCCCGTTCGATCGTGTTTGTTTGCGAGTCGTGAGTCAAAAATGGCGAAGAGAAGAGATGGTGAGAGAGAGAGCGAGAGAGGGAGAGAGAAACAGAGAGAGAGCGAGAGAGAGCGAGAACAAGCATACGAGAGAAAGAGAGCGGAAAAGCCAGGGGAAAAAAAACAAATATAAAAGTTGCAACGAACGCCAGAAAAACGATAAAAATCGTTGGTTTACCCTGATTTATGTGGGAGCGTTGCGTCGCCCCAATTTGCATAAAATATGGAGGACAAATGGTTACGACTTCCCCCCCGCCCCCCCCCCCCCCGGCCCGCCCCCGCCCCGCCCCCCGGCCGCCCCCGCCCCGCCCCCCCGGGGGGGGGCCGCCCCCTCCCCCCAAGGGACCCCCCTTTTTTTTCCCCCCCCCCCCCCCCCCCCTTTTTTTTTCCCCAACCCACCGCCCCCCCCCCCCCCCCCCCCCCTCCCCCCCCCCCTCCTCCCCTCCCCCCCCCCCTCCCATAAACCTTATAAACGCCAAAAAATTGTAGCGTTTCGTAGCGCCAATTTCGAAGGATCTGAACGATTTTAAACACGTTTTTGGCCTATAAATAAAGAAAAACACGTGAAAAGACTACTGTAATTTACATAATATAAAATATCAATTAAAAACATATTTTAAACATTGAAAAACGTTTCCAAAACGCGCCCGTCTGTGCCCTATTTGGGTGGGGTGAGTGGATGCATTTTTTTTGAGGGGTGGGTGGCCGGGGAGGGGGAGACGTAGATGTGGATTTGGAAGCGAGAGAGAGAGAGAGAGAGAGAGAGAGAGAGAGAGAGAGAGAGAGATCGATGAATGGGTTGTTGGAGGCGAGCATGTAGCCCCGGGGGCGACTCGCGCGCATCCTCCTCTTTCGCCCACTCAAAAAGACGAAAAAAGACTCCAGAAAATGGCGGTGGTGAAGTCATCTAATCAGCCCTTGGTTCCGCGAAGCCACTATTGACGACGCAAACGAATAAAAATAGCCTTTTGAGGAAAACAAAAAAAGCTGAATAAAAAAAAAGCTAAATTCTTTGAAAAATCCAATCTGGAGTATACTGCTAAAAACCTCAAAAGGAGCATTCGATTTAAATTTAAAAACTAAGCTTTTCATTTTAAGTAAATCCAAATGAAATTTAAAGGATATTAACATCATTTTGAAATTTTTTTAAGCATGATATGAATTAAGTTAGCTAGAAATTTCCATAAAATTTTGATGCTAGAATTCGAAAATACCGATAATCGAAAATGAAAAATACCTTTTTTAGAAATATTTTAATGCGTGTTAAAAAATTTTGGGGACGATTTTTAGCTCAAAATTTAAGTTTAAGCAGGAAATATTAAAGGTTTTCTAAATTTGATTCAAATTTAAATTTCCCCAATTTTATTTGCAACCTTAAAATTAAATTTTTGTTTTGATTTTTTCAAAATTAATGATATAAAACACGCAAATTTAGAATTTTGAAAAATGAGGCTTTGCGCTCCGAATCGGCAGATCCATTTGGCAGAAAAATCGAAAAGCACCGGCCAGCAGGGGAAACATTAAGCCGAGGGGGTGGCTGGCAGAGGGAGAGATAAGGCATCAAAGGGGGAGGCACACTTTCTGCTGATGCAAAGCAGCAAAAAGGGCACGAAATAGAATTCAGGAATTCACACATCTTAGATTGCAGTTTTAAAAGGTACATTTAAGAGGATACCCAATGTTTTTGCGGCAAATATATAGTTATGTATTCCGGAGAGTACAAATGACGCGCGAATTTTGTGCGGGAATGGGTGCCCAGTGCCGCACAGAATTCGGACCCCTTTCCCTCTTGTGGAGTGCCTATCCCAACCAATGGCTTGCCACTATGGCCTAATGGATAGCATCCAGGTCTTCAAAGCGAGGGTCCGGGGTTCGACCCCCGCCCACGTCATTGTTTTGTGCTTTTTGAGCCTCGGAAAGGTTGGGTATCCCTTTAAAAGTACCGTCCAGCAGATTTCTAAGGTTTTCTAAAACATAATTTGAAAATAGATTGTTCAGTCATTAAAAAAATGGAACAAACAAAATTCCATTTTTAATTAAGCGTATTTAAGTTTACATAAAATCAAGGCGGGATTCTGTAGTTTCGTGCAAACCCACAAAGTGCCTGCGGGGCAATCCCCCCTCCATCCACCGTGGCAACCAGTTTTTTTTGGGCTGCCGTGGGGAATCTTCTCCCCCATGGGCAACTGGTCCAAACGAGATGACAAAGCGGATTATCCGACCAGATGAATGGGAAATCTAAGGTTTTAAGGGTTTGAAGGGGCCCGCAATTTACTTGCAAATCTTTCCATAGCGCCCCGCTGCTTAACTGTGAAACTGACTTACCCTGTCGTGTAAAAATATCTTGATCAAGCCAAGCTGAAATTTACCAAACAATATCGACATTTAAATTGAGAGATAGAAAACTTTCGGCGCATCGTTTGGACCTCTGAAACCAGCGTGAACATTTGGGGGGCCTTTACCTATACCTTTAAAAGGGAGTGACGGCTGGCTGGTGGAACAGAGCAAGCTGGCGGAGGTAACTCAGGAACGACAACCTCGTTTCAGCCATCTAGCAGAGATCTTCTCGGAAAAATCCGGAAGTCGGCAATGGACTTGGGTAAGCTAGGAGAGATCTTTTCGAACGCACGTTTCATTTGGGCAAGCTAGCAGAAATTCTTTAGGAAGGTGTCTTGAATTTGGTTGGCGCGGACGTAAATGTTCAGTCAGGAATAACAGGCACTTGAGCAATCTAGCAGTGATACCCTAAGAAAAGCAATGCTCCGGGGGAGTTAGCAAAGATATATTAGGGACAGACTTTCGTTAGGTGAGCTAGCAGCAATTTTTCCCGCGCAGAAAGGGCCTGGCAATTCCGCCTCCTTCCCTTTTTATTCCCCCCCCCCTCCTTTTTTTTCCGCCACCCTATTTTTCTTTGAGCAAGCTAACAGAGATTCTTTTTGGAACGGCTTTCTCATTTCGGTCAGCTAGCAGATGTTGTCTACCGGCGAAAATCGCTTAATTTACTGTGTTTTAACCGGGTTTAGAGGTCCAGAAAAATACGTGTTGATTTGTGCCTATAGGTCAACCCTGTTTTGGCGCCGCCGCGACACGCAAAGCACCAGTTCGCCTTCCCAACTACGCGTTACGTGTCGCTGGTGGCAGGCGGCGCGTGTACGTTGCGGTCCTGCGCCCAGAAAGTCCATAACCCTGCCTAACCCTTTAAAGGGACTGCCAAGCTCCTCGCCTCAACACTATTCAAATCCGTTTATTAATTGTAATCATACACGTATCGTATAATATCTGGGGGTTATGCATTATAGGGTTCATTCATCCGACGGGGTCCCGGCTGGAATGGCTTGTTGTGTTTTTGTTGGGTGGGGGCTGTCTATTTCCTTTCAGAGGCCTTGGCCTTCCCCTTGCGGCTCTTTCCCTTACCGTATGGGGGGTTCTTGTCGAGATGCTCGTAGAAGCAATCACTGAAAATCGATGCGGTATTATTAATTGAAAATAAGTGATTTTAATGATTTAATCAATTACGAAGATCACATAATAATATATTAGCTGAATTAATTAAATTCATAAAATTTAGTTAATTAAATGTTATCTAAAAGCATAATGCTAAAAATTTAATAAAATTATTTGTATTAATTAGCTATTTAATTATATTATTTATTAAGCTAAAACTACCCTTTTTAGTTAATTTTATTTTTTTGTGTATAACACCTTAAAACTAGCAAAAATTCCATTTAGCTACGATAAACACTATTGTCAGGAGTATCATGACGTACCGGATGGAGTTGAACGACTCGGTGCAGAAGGTGTACTCCAGATAGTTGGTGGGGACGCCCTTCTCGGCCGAGCAGTACTTCAGGCAATCGCCCTCAACGCCCTTCGCCTGAAAAAATGTGGAAATTACCGTATTTCTCTCTTTCTCTCTCTCTCTCTCTCTCTCTCTCTCTCTCTCTCTCTTTCTCCTTCTCTCGCTCTTCTCTCTCTCTCGCTCCCTCTCGCTCTCCCTCTCACGCTCGCTCTCTTTCTCTCTCTCTCGCTTTTTCTCTCTCTTTCTCTTTTCTCTCTCTCTCGTCTCTTTCTCTCTCTCACTCTCTCCCTCTCCTTTTCTCTCTCTCTCTCTCTCTCTCTCTCTCTCTCTCTCTCTCTCTCTCTCTCTCTCTCTCTCTCCCTCTCTCTCTCTCACCTTGCAGCACTCGGTGTGATCGTGACGGTACGAGGCGCAATCCCACATCTTTCCGACGGTGGGTCCCTTGGATTGGCACTGATCCATGTAGTTGAGGATCTGGAAACAATCGGGTTACGGTAGGATTAGGGAAACATTTAGCAGACAGCTCCATTTGCGCTATATTTTAAGCTTGTAGCTGTGAACACAAAAAAACGCGCTTTTAGCGTTCAAAAAACGTAAGATTCCCACTTACATTGGCCTGGTTGATGGCGTTAAAGTCGCAGAAGTTGTTCACGCACTCCTGGTCAACATCCTGAAAATCGAAAAATAGAATTTTACTACGGTAAAAATCAGAAAAATACGGCAATCTTCTAACGTGCCTTCAAGGTGGAGCAGCACTTCTTCAGCTTCTCGTTGGGGGTCAACTTTCCGGCGGCGGCAACGCCAATCAGGCACAAAACGGCCGCAAATCGGAGCATCTAGAAAAGCACTTTTTAGGAGGTAATGTAGGTCCGGTGATACGGTAGCAGAGAAAGCCCGAGCCAAAAGCCCAGTAAAATGACGCTCCGAGAGCCGGATTTCGCCTTTTATGCACTGACCCAGATGGAGAGGAGCGAGGAGAGAGAGGGAGAGAGCGAGAGAGAAGAGAGAAAGTGAGATGAATGTCTCTAGCCCGTCCCAATTGACCTCCTATCAATCCGGCCGGACAGTAAGTGCAGGGCGACCATAAAAACTGCTTCTTTTTGCAAAAATAACGTTTTAAAGGGCGTAGAAGGATGTGATTCCCACAATGATCACTGCTGGTGGGTTCTCTTTTTAGCTTTGCGCACTAATAGAATTCGAATTTCCTAATGTTCTCTGCCAGCCTACCCGCAATTCGGCAAACTAGCAGTGACGTTGGGAGGTAGATAGACGAGTGCACTTTTAGGTATTGATGCTCGGTAAATTCCTCAAGAATCTCTACCTGCTTGCCTCGAGTTCAGAGATACGCAGTAATAGAACCACGATTTTCCAAATGGCTTTTCCTAGCCTCCGTACTTTTTCGGATCCATACATTATAACATGCAGAATTCCGCAAGGTTCTCCGCTAGCTTGCCTGTCTTTTTTTGTTGGCTTGTTGGCTTGCCTGCTAATGAAAAAATTCCTAATTTTTGTGATTCGAGTAATATTTCATATCTCACTCCTATGATCTCAAATGATCGCTGCTAGATCGCTAGCTTAGGTGGGTCATCAACCCGAGTGGCTTCCTTCAATAACCTCTGCTAGCTCGTCAGCTTTTGTATCCATCGTACCAATAGTAAATGGACTTCTTCAAAGAATCTCTGGTAGCCTGCTCACCATCTCCGACAAGAAGTTCATCTTCCGATCAAAACAAAAATCCGGCTTTCACGTTTTCGAGCGCCGCTCGACCGGCTGCTTTCAAATGAATGGCCGTTCCTTATCAATCCGATCCTCGCTAACAAAACGTGTCGATAGGCGCTTCATGTATTGTCTCGCTCTCTCTCTCTTCATCTCTCTCTCTCTCTATCTTGTCTAGAGTATCGTAATCCTGCTTTTCGAGACATTTTATGGCCATTATTCCCTCGCTTGGGTGTCGGGAGATGACCCACATAATCCTTTCACCAATCGGGTCAACCTGCCAGTTTTCGCGATCTCCAACGAGAGACACCTATCGACACGCCTTTCAAGGAAATCTCAAAGCGGTGGCGTTTGGCTTTAAAGGGATCGGGAAGTGGGTGAAAATCCGGGAAAATTAGGGATCATTTATTTGGAGTACGGTAGAAAATTATTCTAGAGAAATCTTTGCTGGCCTATTAATACTCCAGAATTATTCGTTCCTCAAAAATCCCGGCTAGCCTGCCGGTTCCCAAAAGAACTCTGCTAGCTCCCCACTTCCCAAATGCTCTCTGCTTAGATTTTACGATTTTACGAATCGCTAAAACACAACCGATCTACCGTAATCCCAAGTTCAGGATCGATATCCCAGCTAGGCTTGCCACCACGATGCAAACAGGCTCCATCTCGCTTTTTGGCGGCTAAAATCCCCCTATCCGATCCAGCGGCTTATCGCCCGGGCGCAAAACAACACCCACAAGATGTTCGGCCTACGGATTTTGGGGCTATTTGCCTTGCTGGCTCCTTTAATTTCGGGTGCTCCAAATGACAAGCTGAGGGAATGCTGCGAAGTATTGCCGGGGGTCGATCCGGGATGTGCGAGGAAATATTGCGATTTCCATAATGTCAACAGTTTGATGGTGGGTTGGAAGCGGTTCTGTATCTCTCATTCTCTCTCTCTCTCGATCTCTCTCGCTTTCTCGCGTTCTCTCTTTCGCATGCTCTATCTCTCAACTTCTTGATCTCTCGCTCTGTATCACGTTCTCTAACCAACTCCAAGTTTGTCTCTGTCTGTTTCTCTCTCTCGCCTCTCCCCCCCCCCCCCCCCCCCGCTCTATCGCATTTTAAAGGGAGCGGGACACCAAGTACCGTCCTTTTTCCAGGTAGTCCCCTTCATCACAGAATGTGGCCCAAAAGGCAGTACAGCTGGCCAGGTCTGGAAGTGTCTCTCTTCGAAACACGACCACACCGAATGCTGTAGACGCCAGGTAGGGGCATTTTAAAGGGCCGTTGAAGTCATTGAAACGCGCCAAATGCACTACGCTGCGCAGTCTACTTGGCGCGCGGCGCTCGTGTTGCGTGTGCGTTGCTGGTGCATGAGACAGAGAGAGAGAGAGAGAGAGAGAGAGAGAGAGAGAGAGAAAGAGGGAGAGGGAGAAAGGACTCGCAATCACCATGTATCCAGAGCGAACAAAAATCCGCGCAAGGAATAAAGGGCCTTCTACTAATTTTTAGCGAGAATTAGATAAAGCACTATGAATTCCTGTCTTCCATGTACCTTTAAAAAGTGCAGCAGTCTCTTTCTAGAAAGTCACCAAAACATCTTTTTTTTTCCAGGGCGTTCTGCCGTTCTGTGTTCCATTCTGCAAAGCCGACACGGCCGTCCCGACCGATCTGCCGAAATACGCGATCTGCATCAACGAGTTCGAGAAGTACAGAAAGTGCTTCCGGACGTATATTCAACATAATGGGGCCTATCACGAGAATTATGATTACTAATGAGTTGGAACGTGTAATTTATGTTTTACGAATTCTCGAATGTGCAATGTATTGAATAAATACCAAAAATACTAAAAGCATGCAAAAACTGGCATATCCATTTAAAAACATTTTTTTTTATACTTAAATTTTTAGAATCAGTTTTTCGAATTTTCATTTCAATTATTGATTCAATAAAAATTTGGGGAAATCAAAAATAGTATGATTTTTTGGCTTTTAAAAAAACTATCATTTTTAATTTTTAGGCCAATTTTTCTGCTTTTTCGATTTTTGCTTTTTCTCCTCAATGATCTCTGCTGGCTTGCCCCGTCTATTAAAGGGCACGTTCAGGAACGTTTTTTGGAAAAAAGCAAAGATTTTTGCCGCGGCCGCGGGTCGAACCCGGACCCTCCGCTCGGGAGGCGCGGATACATACCATTCGGCCACAGCTACAACCTGGCGAGGGGATGAGGGGCGCCCCACGCCGCAAAGGAGGGGAATGGCCTGTCACAGCACGGGCAGGCAGTGCGCGCGGTTGCTACGTCCATAGGGTGTACACGTTGGGACGAGTACACGGACCCTCCCTGAACGTGCGCTTTAAATTCAAATATTGCTATTTTATTCGATTATCATATCAAATTGCGTTTAGATGGGGTGGTTGAGGATGAACTGCTGGATGGCGTAGTACATCTGCGGGGCCTTCCATTGAGGGGCCATGTGGCCGGCACCACGGACTAAAACAAATCATGCATTAATGGTTGTTTGCGTCAGTTTCCTAAATAATCTCTGCTAGCTAGCCCAAGAAGTTTAGTCAAGTATCGTATGTTTTACTGTAATTTTCTGACAAATTTCCTAGAGCGTCAGCGCTAGTTTGCTCGATGTTGGCGCTCTAATGAAGACATAATATCTAAAGATTATTTGCTAGCTGTTTTTAAATAATTTCTGCTAGCTTGTGCTTGCTAGCTTGCTTTTCTGGAGATTTTTTTACCAACGAATTATCGGCAATTTCGAAGAAGAATTTCTGCTAGACTACCTTCTCTGCCTAAATTCCTAACAGATCTCTGCTAGCCCGCCCTTCCCAAATGATCTCTGCTAGGCTGCCGATCAAAAAAATGTCTTAAAGGATCTCTGCTAGAATGACCTTTTCTTGATTATCCCTGCCACGTCCAAATTCCGAAATTATCTCTGCTAGCCTGCTTTTCCTAAATGATCTCTGCTAGTGCCCTCAAATGCCTAAAGCGGCTCTGCTAGCCTGCCCTCTCCAAAATAATCTTTTCTAACCTCTTTCCAGTATTAAAAAAGTTAAATCCAGAAAATTTTCCAGCCAAGGCTCACCAGTGATGTAGGTGAGTCCCTCGAAAAGCGTCTTGAATCCGGCAATCTGTCGATCATACTTCCACGGCGTTTTTCCGAGGGTCCTCTGCAAAAGGGGAGTGGTTTAAAGGGAGCATGACCCGCAGACCTACCTTCAATCCAAGCTGATAGGCGAATTGCTGTCCCATGAGGAAGTTGCAGGCCATGTCGGTATCGCCGTAGTAGAGGAGCACACGCACGTGGGCGTTCAGGATCTGGAAATTAGGGTAAAATTTGGCGCGTTGCGTTTGCGTCGCGGCTGCGTTGCGTAAATTGCTATAACGGCTTCAACGCTTCAGCAAGACGTTCAACATATATAAAACTAGTGAGCTTTTCACGGGTCGCGGCTGCGCTTCGTAAGTTTATATACACGCCGAAACGCGTCAGCAAGACGTTCAACACAGGTGAGGCCTTTACGCGTTTACGGATGCGTTACATAAATTTCCCTAACAACCGTCACACGTTAGCGAGGAGTTCAGTTGCCCCAAAAGCCCAGTAAGCGTTGCGGATGCGTGGCATAAATTTCTATAGCGGCCGGAACCACGTCAGCAAGACGATCAGCTACGTCAAAAAGTAGGTGCGTTACCTTGAACACATTGCGGGTGCTCGGCTAAAATGTCTCTGAACACTTCTGCAATACGTTCAGCTGCGTCAAAAAGCCCTGTCTTGAAAAAAGCAAAAAAAAGCTGCTGCCTTTTTCGGGCACGTCAGCAAGCCGTTCACAAGTAGTTCCCAGAAAACGAAATTTTTGCAGGCGTTGCGGTTGCGCCTTATATGAAAAAGTCACTGACCTTCTTGACAAACGGCGTCATGTCGGTGTACTGCTTCTGGTAGGTGCTGGTGACCTTGTCGCTGCAGATGTCCCATTTCGGCAGGTTGAACGGCACGTTGATGGCACGGCGGACCTGAAAAGTAAAAATTTAGCAGTTAATTCCAAATTACCTTAGCGTCGTTCATGTAGGAGATGACGTCGGAGTCGTTGAGGCACGGCGCGTCACCGTACAGGAATTTCTTGCCCTGGAATAAGAATCAATAGCTTGAAAAGGTTTGAAAATTCTTACGCGCAAGAAATCGGTGACGGTGAGGTTCTTCTTGGCCTTCTTGAGCCCCTCGAAGACGGTCTTCTCGAAAGCGCCGGGGACGACACCGCGAAGCATCGACTCCATTCGGGGGCTGTTCGCATCGGGGTTCGGGTCACAGTCCCTTTAAAATCAGGGTTTATGATGGGCAAGCTAGCAAAGATTCTTTGGAAAAAGGATGGCAAGATAGCAGAGACCTTTTGGGAAACTAGGCAAGCTAGCAGAGGCTCTTCGAGAAAAGAAGGCAGGCTAGCAGAGACTCTTTGGGAATCGGAGCACGATTTAGCAAAGAGTTTTTGGGAAACTAGGCAAAATAGCCTAGATTCTTGGGGAAAAGCAGGGCAAGCTAGCAGAAGTTCTTTGCAGAGGGCCAATTAGCAAAGATTTTTTGATAACCGGAAGGGGAGGCTAGCAGAGATTCCTTAGGAAATCGGAATAGGTTAACCGAAGTTCATAAGGAAATGGGGGCAGGCTAGCAGCAAATCACTAGGTAATCTGAGGGCAAACTAGCAGAGATCCTTTGGGGATACGGTAAGAGGGCAGGCTAGCAGAGGCTTTTTTGGAAACTAGACAAGTTAGCAGAAATAATAGAGCAATCGGAGCAGAACCAGCAATTTTTGGGAATTTGAAGGCCAACTAGCGAGATCGGAGGGAGAAATAGCCAAGATTGTTTCGGAAGGCGAGGGCAAACTAGCAAAGATTCTTTAAGAACCGGCCCTTGAAAAAATACCTGTACAAATCGTACGGGTTCAACCCTCCGAACCACAAGAACTGGAAGATATCCTCGACCATCGTCGCGCAGTGGCCTTCCAGCTAGACGGTAGGTGTACATAG